GTGGGGGGGAGGGACCTCATTGGTCTCTAGTTCTCTGGGCTCCCCACCAGCTGCCCATCCCCAGGCCCCAGGCTGGCGCAAAGGGACGAGCTCAGGCCACCCCCGGCAGGCAGGCAGGCGGACCTGTTGCTTTGGCGCTGCAGATTGAGATGCAGGGAAGCACGTGGGGCTGATGATTATATTTCAGGGAGAGTTAATTGACGGGAGGTGAAGGAAGACAAAGACGGGCTGCTTTCTGCCTTCTTGAATCCCAATCAGGAATTATGATTAAAGACGCAGCAAGACAACAGACGCCTGATGAGTTGCGCTCTCTCTCTCTCTCTCCCTCTTGCTTTTGCCGTCATTCACACTTGATTGACTTCAACCTTTCAAGTGCAAAAGCCTCTCTTTCCATTATTATTGGTAGCCATCTGAGTTTTTCTAATTAAAGTGTATGAAAAACAATTACTGAGCAGCCATTGCCGTGCGTCTGTGTGGAGATGGCCGCCGCCTTGGATTTCTGGGAAGAGGCCACACGTTGTTTGCCAGAAGGGGCTGCTCCGGGGTTAGACCATCTTGCTCTTTTTCTATGCTCTCGTTTCCTTGTTTAAAAAAACCTTTCTTGGGGTTTGTGTTTATCCTTTCGGTGGCGGCAGAGGAAGCCGTTGCCCTCCAGAGCGGTACAGAGAGGGGCGCTTGCTTGTTCCAGTCTTCCCGCTACTGCCTCCCAGTGCATTCACCTCTCCGGCCCTCTGCCTGAGGGGCAATAAGGACAGGAGACGGGAGGGAAGGAGGAGGCTTCCCAGTCCCACCCCCAGAGAGGGCCGCCTTCTTCCGGAAGAGTCTCTGTGTGGCAGGTCTCCCTTGAAGGGAGGGAACCTTCAGTGTGGAGATTCCCCAGTACCCCGGTCCTGTTCTTTTTCGACTGCTGGACACTTGCCTTCTCTGGGGCCTTGGTGTCAGGTTCCTGCAGCAATCAGTTCCCAACAACTCTCTTCTTGCAAAGAAGTGAAGTTTATTGAGACATTGAAGTATGCAGATTATCTTTACACATCTCGTGTTAGAACTGGCAATAAACGCGCGAAGGAAGCAGATGTACACAATTCAAGGGGGTTCCCTGATGGCCAGGAGCCAATCAAAGAATAGGTAAAAGCCCACCAAGCTAACGGGTCCAGTTTCCCAAGAGAAAGCTGTGGCTAGACACCAAGGCCAAACGCTCATGTTACTGAGATAAAGAAACGCTAAAGACACAGAGAAAAGAAACCTAAAATTCCAGAGGCACCCCCACTCCTTGGCAGCTAGAGGCCTAGTTGACATACTGCCCCCCCCCCAAGATCTCACCCACCAGGTTTATTGGGTGCATTTTGTGGAAACTGCGTATAAGTCTAGGAGCATGTACATCACAGTCTTTCACCCATTCGTTGTGGGAGGGGTCAAAGTCCTTCCATTGAATAAGATAGTACAGAGTACCACGCCTTAAGTTTAGAGTCCAAAACCTGAACCACCTCTTGGTGTGGCTCACCATTCCGCATCAGAGGAGGAGGGGCTGGAGGTCGAGGTCTCCACTTGTTCGGACTGCACATCTTTGAGTGATTTAGGCAACTCAAGTTCAACAGTCACATCATTGATTTTGCGCAACACTTTGAAAGGTCCATTATACTTCCAGCCCAATTTCCTTCGAGGCTGAAGGCCTTTCAAGTTCTTGGTAGAAAGGTACACTGTGTCCCCTGGCTGCAAGTCCCATTCAGGAGACCTGCTTTTGTCAGCCTGATTTTTGTATTCTGCCTTAGCTTTGTCCAGAGTCTTATGAATGGTAGGCCAGTGGTCACTTAGACCCTGCCACCAAGCCAGGAGATCCCCGGAGGGTGGTGGTCGGGAGTCCCCA